TTTGTGGTACCAGGGATCAAACTCAGGACTTTACACTTGCCAGGCAAGCACTTATTCCACTGAGCTATCTACCGACCCCTGTAAATAGATCTTAAAGAGTAATTAGTTGAGTATAAATTTGATGAGCTACACAGTCTGTAAATTTGGCCTTTTGTATAATAGTGAGAGTTACTCCTGTTACATAGTGGTGAAATTCAGAAGTATGTAAACACATTTGGAAAACTAAAAGAACCATTAATGTGCAAATAATTTTTATGTGAGACATTCTAGTAGTGCAAGGATTTGGGAAGATAATCCTTAGACTAACAACCTTGCAATATGTGCAATAGATTTTGTTTTGTTTTTGGAGGAACTGGAGATTGAACTCAGGCCCTCACTTGCCAGGGAAGCACTTATTCTATTGAACCATCTCCCCGGCCCCCTTGTTTTGTTTTTTTGAGACAGGGTCTTGCTGTGTAGTTCAGACCAGTCTTGAACTTACTATGTAGCCTAGGTTGACCTTTAGCTAGCAGTGATCCTCTCCCCTCAGCCTTTCAGAGTTCTGGGACTACAGGTATGAGCCACCATTTCTGGCTTAATCAGCAATGAGAATTCAGAGGAGGTGACAGGTTTTGGTTGGCTGTTAGAGAAGACATTTGTAAGAGAATTATTAGTAGCTAGATCTGGAAGAGTAAGTAGAACGGTGATGAGGAAGTTTATTCCAGAGGGAAGAGGAATGGCTAGTGAATGGTAAAGATAGGTCTTTATTTGGTACTGGGAATTGAACCTAGCGCCTTTACAATGACTGATCTATATCTCCAGCCTTTTACTCTGAGCTACAGTCCCAGTCTCTTAAATTTTGAAACTGGGTCTTGCTAAGTTATTAGATTGCCCATGCTGGGCATCTCAGTGCTGGGATTTTATTTTATTTTATTGTCTTTTTGAGACAGGGTATCACTAGGCTGGACTTGGAGTCTCTTTGTAGTCCAGGCTGGCCTTAAATTGGAAGCAATCCTCTTGACTCAGCCTCCCAAGTGTTGCGATTACAGGCATGTACCACCATGGGCTGCCTGGGATTTTATTTTATTTCTTTGTTTACTTTTTTTGAGATAGGGGATAGACTTGGCCTTGGACTCAACATGTAGCCCAGGCTGGCCTTGGATTCATGCTGGTCCTCCTCAACCTCCCCAGTGCTAGCATGATAGGCATGTGCTACCATTCCCAACTGGAACAGTAATTTTTAAAAAAACTTGCATATATGACTTCATTATGTTTTTATTGGACAGTCATGCTTATATAGATCTCAGAAGAACAGTAATTATTTTTTAATGAATGTATTGGTACAGTTTAGATATGATGATCATTATTCATCATAGGAAATTTGTACCTGTACATGATTTAACTTTTTTTTTCCATTCCCCTACCCTCCCATTAACCCCTGTTCCCCTCTTTATTTACAAAAGCTTTGTTTCCATTTTTTCATTTTTTTCTTTTCCTTTCCCTTCCCCCTTCCTTAGTTCCCCTTCCCATTTTGACATTGTTTTTCCTATTTCGTAATATGGTAAGACATTTTGGGAGGACAGTAATTCTTTTGAGCTTTTTTTTTGGGGGGGGGCTACTGGGGATTAAACTGAGGACCTTGCACTTGCCAGGCAGACACTTAGTTGCTGAGCTATCTCCCCCAATCCCAAGGGCAGTAATTCTTCTGTGCTCTAGCCACACTGGGCTTTTTCCAGGGTCACAGGAGTGTATGTGTGTGTGTGTTTTTGAGACAGGATCAGGGTCTCCCTATGCAGTTCAGGCAGGCCTTGAGCTCAGTTTGTAGCCCAGGCTGGTCTCAAACTTGCAGTGATCCACCTGCCTCAGACTCCCAAGTATTGGGATTACAGGCATGTACCACCATGCCCAGTACAAGGACAGTAATTTTTTTATGTATTTAGTACAGGGTCTACAGGGTCTCACTATGTAGATCAAACTATAGTGATTCTCTTGTTTTCAGCCTCCCAAGTACTGGGATTACAAGAGTGCTCTGCCACCACGCCCATTCTCAATCACTGTTTCAGTGTGCCCCAGAGGCAGGGCCAGCATGGCATGTGGAGCCAGGGATCAAATCCCAGGGATCAAACCCTGTCCCTGCATCTGTCAAGGCTGGCGCTTTAATCCAATGAGCTATCTGGCCAGTCCTAGGACAGTAATTCTTAAGACCAATCAAGTCTTAAGACCATTTCCACGGCCCCGGCTCAGTGGAATAAGTGCTTCCCTGGCAAGCACAAGGGCCTGAGTTCAATCCCTGGTTCCACAAAAAAAAAAAAAAAAAAAAAAAAAAAAAAAAAGAGTAAAATCCTAGCACTAGGGAGGCAGAGACAGGAGATCTCTGAATTCAAGGCCACCCTGGGTTAGGGCTACAAAGTGAGTTCAAGGCCAGCATGAATGGCACAGCAAAACCCTGTCTTAAAAAAAAAGGCCAAACCAAGAGAAAGAGAAGTATGTTGTGTTTGAGATTTACAATATATTATAATGGAATACTTTATAGATAATAAAGTGGCTCTTATAGTGAAGATTAATATCTATTATGTCAGTTACCTTTTTTTTTTTTAATAATTTTTTTTAACATTTATTTATTGTGTGTGTATGTGTGTGTGTGTGGCCAGCTCAGCCCACCAGGGTGCGGGGCTGGCTGGCATGTGGTGCTGGGGGATTGAACCGCGGTCCCTGTGCTTTGCCAAGCTTGTTCCAAGTAGGTGCTCCAGACCACTGAGCCATCTCACCAGCCCATCAGTTACCTTTTGTGACAAGAGTAACTACATGCATTTTTTTTTAAAGGGTCTTGCTATGTAGTTCAGGCTGGCCTTGAACTCACTGTGTAGTCCTCTTGGCTGAGACTCCCTGAGTACTGGGATTACAGGCCTGTGCCACCACATTTATTTAACAAAAATCCTTAATGCAACGTAATTGTATTAACTTTACTTCCAGTGTTGTACATCACACAGTGTGTCTATCCTAAACATA